GAGACACTGAGTTCAGACCCTGGTGCCAGTATAAAACAACAACAACAACAAAAACAACAGGCACTGGTGGCTCATGCCTACAATCCTAGCTACTCAGGAGGCTGAGAGCTGAGAATTGCAGTTCAGTCAGCCCAGGCAGATAAATCCAAGAGACTCTTTTGTTGTTGTTCTATGTGTTTTTATCATTATTTGACACAAAGCAGTCAAGATCTAAGAGACTCTTATGTCCAGTTAACCAGCAAAAAAGCTGTGCACCTCAACTCGTACCTGTAATCCTAGCTATTCGGGAGGCTAAGATCTGAGGATCTGTGGTCCAAAGCCAGCCTAGGCAAGAAAGTCCATGAGACTCATCTCCAAATTAGCCACCAGAAAACTGGAAGTGGTGCTGTGACTCAAACAGTAGAGTGGTAGCCTTGAGCAAAACAGCTTAGGGATAGCGCCCAGGCCTTGAGTTCAAGCCCCACGACTGACAAGTAAAAGCCAGAGTGGTGGTATGGCTCAAGTAGCAGAGTATGGACTTGAGAAAATAAGGTAGGGCTTGGAATGTGGCTTAGTGGTATAGTGTTTGCCTAGCATGCATGAAGCCCTGGGTTCCATTCCTTAGTACCATATAAACAGAAAAGGATGGAATTGGCAGTGTGGCTCAAGTGGTAGAGTGCTAGCCTTGAGCAAAAGCAGCTCAGGGACAGTGCCAAGGTCCTCAGTTGAAGCCCCAAGACTGGCAAAAAAAAAAAAAAAAGTAGAGAAAGGGAGAAGGGCAAGGAGTTTGTTTTTTGTTGGTTTTGTTAGTTTTTGTTAGCTAGGAATGGAACCCAGGGCTATGAGCGTGGTAGGCAATTACTGTGTCACTGAACTATACCCCCAGTCTATCTTTATCTTTTTTGCAAATATAAAAATTTTAGATAACATACAAAGGAAAGGCCCCACTGAAAGCATCACATCTGAATACCTACCTGAAGAGGCTTTGGGGACAATTATGGAAGGGGAAAACAGCCTTGTGGTTCCTTGTACTTGTTAAGACTCTATCCAGAGCTGTGGTCCTTATTTGCTTTCCTTTATGTAATCAGAAATGCAGGCAGAGCTGCTGGTCCCCTCCCAGAGACCCTTCCTTGTCCACCCCAGCTGCTCTCTCTCTACTCTTTTTAAATTTTTGTCAATGGTGGGGCTTGAACTTAGGACCTGGGTGCTGTCCCTGAGCTCTTTTGCTCAAGGCTAGCATTCTAATTTGAGCCACAGTGCCACATCTGGTTTTCTTTCTTTTTTTTCTGGTCCTAGGGCTCATACTCCCTGTGCTCCTTTTTGCTCAAGGCTGACAGAGCTCTGTCACTTGAGACACAGAGCCACTTCTGGCTTTTTCTGTGATTAATTGGAGATAAAAGTCTCAAGGACTTTCCTGTGCAGGCTGACTTTAAACCTCAGTTCTCAGATCCCAGCCTTCTGAGCTAGGATTATAGGTATATATAGCTGCTCTTTCCACTCTTGGTCCTGCCTCAGTCCTTGCCGCTCACTTTCCATGTCCCTTGCCTATAGTCCGAAGATTTTCCAGAAGACCAAGTGCAGCATCTGTAACAGTGCCTTGGAGTTGCCCTCCGTCCATTTCCTGTGTGGCCACTCCTTTCACCAGCATTGCTTTGAGAGTTACTCAGAAAGTGATGCTGACTGCCCCACCTGCCTCCCCGAAAATCGGAAGGTCATGGATATGATCCGGGCCCAGGAACAAAAACGAGACCTCCATGACCAGTTCCAGCACCAGGTGGGGATGAGTGGGCTCCATGGGATAGGGGTCGCCCCCAGCATCACAGTTCACTGAGCACTGGAGGGCTTGTTTCCTTTGCTCCCCTTCTTAGGAAATGAGCTTCTCTAGTTGTGATTCTTCTTGCTTTTCCTCTGCAGCTGAAGTGCTCCAATGACAGCTTCTCTGTGATTGCTGATTACTTTGGCCGAGGGGCATTCAACAAGTTGACTCTGCTGACTGACCCTCCCACAGCCAGGCTGACTCCCAACCTGGAGGCTGGGCTGCAGCGGGACCTGCTCATGCACTCCAGGAGGGGCACTTAGGTAGCTCTGGCATAGTGTGTGACCTGGAGGCTCAGCTGGACACAGGTACTGAGACTAGCTGATACTGCACACATAGCAGATGTGTTCACGACTCCAGGATGCCATTGCCCTCACAACTCAAGGGGCCTTGCTTTTCTTGCCCCTTTATTTCTCCAGCCTGCTGTTCTTCCTGTTGACTAGCAGTATAGATTAATACAGACCCGTGGGGGAGGGTACCTCGATAACCTCTGTGTGGACAATAGCTGCTTTATTCTGTATTCAAGGGTACCAGGCTGTGCTTGGGTCCTTATTCTCAGAATGTATAAATAAAAGAATATAATGATGGGAGCCTGGAAGAATTTTTTTCTGAGGACTTTCTGATGAGTCTTAACTGTATTACAGCTCTGTACTAGACCCCCAGTCTCCTTCCCATGGACTTCTTGGAGGTCATCTCAGTAATGAGTAGCCCCCTAACAGCTAAGAAGTTTCAGCTTGTTAAAAAACCTCTGCAAAAGGTCTACTGAGCTGGGTTCCAGTGGCTCACACTTGTAATCCTGGCAACTCAGGCTGAGATCTGAGGATTGGTGTTCAAAGCCAGCCCCGATAGAAGTCTTTGATACTTATTTCCAATTAACTACCAGAAAAAAGGAAGTAGAGCTGTGGCTCAAGTGGTAGAACACCACACTTGAGTAAAAAAAAGTTCACTGACAGTGCTCAGGCCTTGATTTCAAGCCCCAGAAACCCACCCCCTCTCCCCTCCCCTCCCCCCCCAGAAGTCTTAGTGACTTCAGTTCCAAGAGCTCCCAAAGTCTTGCTGATCTTGATCACGTGCATTCAGGAGAAATATTCAGGTGGGAGGCAGACCCTGCAAGGGTATCTTAGGCCTAGCTTGCCTGCAAAATGAGTAGAACAGTGCTTTTTTTTTTTTTTTTGGTCTGGTCGTGGGGCTTGAACTCTGGGCTTGGGCACTGTCCCTCAGCTCTTCAGCTCAAGGTGAGCTCTCTACCACTTGAGCCACAGCGCCACTTCTGCTTTTCTAGTGGTTTATTGGAGATGAGTCTCACTAAATTTCCTGCCCGGGCTGGCTTTGAACCAAGATCCTCAGATCTCAGCCTCCTGAGTAGGATTACAGGCGTGAGCCACCAGCGCCCAGCTTAGAACAGTGTTTTCTTGCTGTAGTTAGTTCCAGATAATAGGCAGGATAAAAATTATGTTATTGATCTGAGTGTGGTGGTTCATGGTCAGGAGGTAGAGATAAAGGAGAATCTCCTGAGGCCAGTTCAGGTAAATTCACAAGTTAAAGCTGAGCATGGTGGTATATGCCTGTCTTCCTAGCTACATGGTGAGTGTAACTAAGAGGAGATCAGGTTGGCTCAGATAAAAATGTGACAGCCTATTGAATACAGCATAATGAAACCCACCAAATAAGGTCTGAAAAAGGGGAGAAGGGAGAAATGGGAGTATGATGGAGGGGGTAAGTTGTTTCAAGTATTAGTATGTATATATGTGTGTGTATGTATATATACATATGTGTATATGCATCTTTACATATGAGTTAAAGAAGAGGGGGAAAAAGGACTGCAAAATAATTTTGAAATATATTGCAACTATGTATGAAGAAGACAGGGATGGAAAGAGAAGCAACAAGGTTATTCTGATCAAAATATATGCACATCTGAAATACCATGGTGAAAATTCTTGATACAATTAATATGCACTAAAAAAAAAAAAATGAAGCTGGCACCAGTGGCTTACACCTATAATCCTAGCTATTTAGGGTGCTGACTGGAGGATCTCTATGAGGCCAGTCTGGGCAGAAAAGTCAAATAGACTCCATCTCCAAAATAACCAACAAGAAGCTGGGCTGGAGGTATATTTCAAGGGAATAAAGTGCCAGCCAAGCAAGCAAGCCAAACAAGGAAAAGGCCCTGGTACTGGCAAAATTAAAAATAAGAAACACCAAGGAAGTTGCTGTAACTGCTTGTATACTCCAGGTGAAGTCTTCCAAAGCAACCGTGTGTATGTGTGTGTGTGTGTGTGTGTTAGTACTAGGGCTTGAACTCAAGTGTGTGTGTGTGTGTGTGTTAGTACTAGGGCTTGAACTCAAGACCTGAGCACATTGCCCTGCGCTGGTGGCTCACGCCTGTAATCCTAGCTACTCAGGAGGCTAAGATTTGAGGATCGAGGTTCAAAGCCAGCCCGGGCAGGAAAGTCCGTGAGACTCTTTATCTCCAGTAAGCCACTAGAAAACCGGAAGTGGCGCTGTAGTTCTAGTGGTAGAGTGCTGGCCTTGAGCTGAAGAGCTGAGGGACAGCGCCCAGGCCCAGAGTTCAAGCCCCACGACCGACAAAAACAAACAAACAAAAAAAGACCTGAGCACTGTCCCTTAGCTTTTTTGCTCAAGGCGAGCACTCTACCACTCCAGACACAGCTCAACTCCTGGCTTTTGCTGGTAATTGGAGGAGTCCCAGGAGACGGCTGGCCACCATGTCCCGCTTAGTGGCCGTGTAAGTGTGTGTGTGTGTGTGTGTGTGTGTGTGTGTCTGTGGTAATTGGAGGAGTCCCAGGAGACGGCTGGCCACCATGCCCCGCTTAGTGGCCGTGTAAGTGTGTGTGTGTGTGTGTGTGTGTGTGTGTGTGTGATACCCAGGGGGCATCGTAACTTCTAACCCTGAATTTTAGGGTTCATAGGCCCTCCTTTCCCTCTGGGGCCTGGCTAATTTCTAGTGCATTAACTACCCCTTAGGGTGGTCGGACAGAAGCTTGACAAGGACACTTTACAGTATAACTCGGAAGCACGCAGTGCTAACAGGCCAGCAGTACTTCAGGATAGGGGAAGCGGTGGCAGATCTGGGTCTGAGCGCGCATGCCCGTGGGGTGAGCCGGGAGGACCCGGGGAAGCGAGGACCGCTGGTTGTCAATCATCCTAGTTCCCGCCCCTTCCAGGGGCACCGGACGTGACGCAGAGCTCCTCGCGAGTCCTGCAGTCAGGCCGTGGGACGGGCTCGGGCCCCATGTGCCGTCAGTCCCCACCAGCCTGAGCCTCCGGCCTCCGCCGACCCCAGGAAACCTTGGCAGCACCACGCGGCCCCACTCCAGAAGAGACATGTCTGGTAACGGCGGTGTGGCTGTAACGGCGGTGAGTCCTGAGCCGGTGAACTGCACATGGGGCTTCCGGGCGACCCGTGCAACGATTGGCCCCCCAGTTCCCACCCTCCGTCATCCATTGGTCAGAAGGGCTGTCTGTCATCTGTCTCCACCCGCGTATAGCTTTTAAAGGGCCAGTAACTAGTTTGCCCTCAGGAAGGTACGAGCTCTGTGACCTAGTGAAGCGGGGATAAGAGTGGAAGGATGGTGTCCTGTGGGACCTCTATTCCTTCAGGCTTCTAGGTGGAGGGTGGGGGCTGGGGGTGGGGGATGGACTCCCGCCCACGGCTAGGAATGCACGACCTAGTGACCCAGCCAGTAAAGTTGGTCTACACAGACGGTCCTGTCACTGGACATGGCCGATATGGACGTGGGCCACCGTGAGGGCACCCTCCCAAGCGTTCTGACTGCGCGCGCGCGCGCACACACACACACACACACACACACAATTTTGAAAGTACGCCTTCTCCCCTTCTCCGTTATGGCAGTGACTCAGCTCCAGCTACTGTCAAAGTCCCCAGCTAAGATAGGCCACTGGGTTACCACCGCACCTGAAGTCCCCCCGAGCTTTCACACTGCTGGCTTGCCTGTGAAGCTCTGGGCTTCAGCAAGCAAAATGACAGAGCAATCAAACCACACAGTGGTACAGGCACTGCCTGCCTGAGATAAGGCAGAGGGGCACCTCCTTATCTTCTCCTATCCAGCCTGTTGTTTGCCAGTGGAGACATTCCAGGGCACCGGGCTAGGGGGAGGAGGGCCTGGTATTTCAGCACTAGCTCTCTGCCCATTATTTGCTGTGTGTCTTATCATTTTACCCCTTTGCCTCTGTAACACATTGTGGGAGAGGTACCCACCTGCTCTACTACATCTGTTGTTGTGAGGACAGTCATATGCCATAGCAGTAGCACCGAAGTGATCAGCAAAGTATAGGTTGAGGCAACAATGTGAATTGAATATACTGTTCAAATTTGATAAATTTAAAGACTTTTAAACTTGTAATTCTGCAGCCTTAGATCCCTTCCTTTCTGTAGGCTCCCTGTGGCCTTGAATTTTATTGTGTGTGTGTGTGTGTGTGTGCATGCACACCCTTGAATTCAGGGCCTGGATGCTGTCCCTTAGCTTTTTTGCCCAAGGCTGGTGTTCTACCATTCGAGCCACAGCTTCACGTTCTGGCCTAGAATTTTAGTGACAGGGTTTAGCATTTCAGGCCTAGATAGATTTTCAGTGTCCCCCCAGCCTGATTTATTGGAGGAGTGAGAGCGCTGGCATGGACTGGTGTCTGGGAGCAGCAGGCTATCCCCTCCCCCGGCGACAGAGGTCCCAGATGTCTCACTGCAAAAGCACCTATAAAAAAATAAAGATCCGGGGAGGGGGGAGGCTGGGAAGGGATGTGAAGGGTAAACCAAAGGAGGAGGCTGCAATGCTTGGTAAGAAATGTACGCATTATCCTGCCCATGTAATTGTAACCCCTCTGTACACTATGTTCACAAATAAAAAATAAATAAATAAATTTAAAAAAATAAAGATCCTAGGGCAGGGAAAGCTGATATTTTCTACAGTGGCTCCCTTCTGATAAGAGAAAGAATAAGACCTCTGGCTCAGACTAAAAGACTAGTTTTGCCTGCTGGGCACTGAATGCTTTTTGTCCAAAGTGCCCTGGCAGGAGGAAGAGGTGTGTCCCTTTGAGTTCTTAGCTTGAACTCTAATACCCCAACATTTACCTATTGGTGAAACTAGAGGCAGCACTGTAGGCAAATGAATGTCAGACAGTTCAGCCTCAGTCTTATATGACATCCAGACAGAAGAAGCTCTTCATTTCATAAATGAATGAACTGGCCCTGTTGAGACCATAGACCTAAGACTTCCAGCCAGTGGACTGACTGAGCAAGACCGTATAGCACCAGTTGACCCCAGTTCCACAGAGGTACATTTCAGTCAAACTAATGGATCCTTAGTGTGGTGGCTGTGGGTGGTACCTCTTGGTATCTGGATGGCAGTAATATTTTTGAGTGCCTGCTCTGTTGTGGATAGAAAGCCTTTTCCCCAATGATGTGTGCTGTGGCTATCCGACCCCAGCCTGCTGCAGGCCCCGCCCTCCTTGTGACCAGGCTGATGGGCCTTATCTCTTTCCACACCTGGCCATGTGCAGCCTTCCCACTGAGAAGTATCTTGGCCGGGGTGAGCTTGGGGGATCAGTGTCCTGGTTATCACACTGCTGCTGCCACATCAGCAGAACCCACTGCCAGTGTCCTTCTGCTTCTCTGGATCCTAGAGGAGGACAGAGGTGCTGAGAAAGCGTAAGGGACCAGTCTTAGAATATTTCCTAACCCAGAGGCTCAGGTGGCCATACAGCAGAGGTTGTTCTAAGCCAATAGTTCTGGTTCTTGGGAAGGGTCCTGGTGTAGAGGGGACTGTGACCTGGGGACTTTTTCTGCAGGAAGAGAACAACTTGAAGATGAGAGTGATTCGAGTGGGTACCCGTAAGAGCCAGGTAAGTGCCGTCATGGGGCAGAGAAGCTCTGTCAGAAGTAGTATACTCACGGGTCACAAGTTGATGGGCCCCAAGGGCTAATTTCTAGCACAGAGGAAACAGAATGGCTGAGAGTAAGATCTCAAGGGGAATGGCAGAGTGTGTCCTGTGGAAATGGAGTCCATAAACTGGGGAAGTTGTTGAGGTGTAGAGATCACCCTCACCCCTCTCATGCCCAGGTAGGAATTCCAATTCCTTTAGATTCTCCTTGACCCTATGAGAATGTGAGGTTGGGACAGTGTCCAGGAAAAGGAAGGACTAATCTGAATCTCCGTCCCCAGCTGGCTCGCATACAGACAGATACTGTGGTAGCAATGCTGAAAACCTTCTACCCTGGCGTGCAGTTTGAAATCAGTAAGTTTCTGGAGAGGAATGGAAGTTGGTGGGAAACCAGTGCTGCCGGAAGGGAGAACAGAGTTTCTGCTTTACTGTGACCAAAGCCAGGGTGCTGACCTCCCACAGGTCTTCTTGGTGGCTCCCAGTGGGAGGGAGCCAGTTCTCTGAACACCTTTGACTCTGATTTCGTGGACTAGCCTGGCATTTACCTTCTCCTGCCTTTGGATCCTTTTTTTTGGGGGGGGGGGTCTGGTCATGGGGCCTGAACTCGGCCTGGGAGCTGTCCCTTAGCTCTTCAGCTCAAGGCTAGCGCTCTACCACTTGAGCCACAGTGCCACTTCCGGCTTTTTTTCTTTTTGCTTATGTGGTGCTGAGGAATCGAACCCAGGGCCTCATGCATGCAAGGCAAGCGCTCTACCACTGAGCCACCTTCCCAGCCCCTGGATCTTTTTCTTTCTTCTTCTTCTTTTTTTTTTTTTTTTTGGTCAGTCATGGGGCTTGAACTCTGGGCCTGGGCACTGTCCCTCAGCTCTTCGGCTCAAGGTGAGCGCTCTACCACTTGAGCAACAGCACCACTTCTAGTTTTCTGGTGGTTTATTGGAGATAAGAGTCTCATGGACATTCCTGCCTGGGCCGGCTTTGAACTGTGATCCTCAGATCTCAGCCTTCTAAGTAGCTACGATTACAGGTGTGAGCCACCAGCGCCAGGCTCCTTGGGTCTTTTTCTGAATTTGCTTCCCTGCTAGATCATACATTTTTCATGGACAGGGACTGGCACTTACGTCCCTCCGTCCCTACCATGAATCTCAGCATAGTGCTGAGCACTGAGAACTAAGCACCGTAGGGCCTCAGTAAATGCTGATTAATGAGCACCTGATTGATCGGCTCTCTCCTCAGTTGCCATGTCTACCACAGGAGACAAGATACTTGACACTGCACTCTCTAAGGTAACACCTTCTCCTCTGTCCCCGTCCCCCCTCTTTTCTCATAAGACATTCACCCTAATACTCTTTCTACCTGGCAGATTGGGGAAAAGAGCCTGTTTACCAAGGAGCTGGAGTACGCTCTGGGGAAAAATGAGTAAGTAAAGACCAGAGATATATGGCAGCCCTGCACTCCTTTGCGAGGCTCACTCCCACCCCCGGTGAACTGCAGCTCAAGATATCAGCAAGATTGCTGGCTTCGATCCACATCCTGGTGGGGTTCAGGCTTCCAAAGATAGTGTTGTTGGAACCATCTGAGCTGTCTGGAGTGCAAGATTAGCTGGGACAATGTGGTAGAAGGAAACATGGGAGCAGAGCAGAGCTCAAGGTCCTGAGGTCTTAGGAAGGCCCCTTCCTTCCTTCCTTCTTTCCTTCCTTCCTTCCTTCCTTCCTTCCTTCCTTCCTTCCTTCCTTCGTTTCCTTCTCTCCCTCCCTCCTCCTTCCTTCCTTCTTTCCTTTCTTTCTTTCCTTTCCTATTTTTCTTTCCTTCCTTCCTTCTTGCTTGCTTTCTTTTTTTTTTTTTTTTTGGTCAGTCAGGGAGCTTGAACTCTGGGCTTGGGCGCTGTCCCTTAGCTCAAGGCTCAAGGCAAGCGCTCTACCACTTGAGCCACAGCACTACTTCCGGTTTTCTTATGATTAATTGAAGATAAGAGTCTCATGGACTTTCCTGCCTGGGCTGGCTTTGAACCATGATCGTCAGATCTCAGCCTCCTGCATAGCTAGGATTATAGGCGTGAACCACTGACACTTGGCCAGCCAGACTGCCTTCCTTCCTTCCTTCCTTCCTTCCTTCTTTCTCTGTTGATGTGGTATTGAGGAATGGAACCCAGGGCTTCACACATGCGAGGCAAGCACTCTACACTAAACATTCCAAGCCCCTGTTTCTTTCTTTCTTTTTTTTGGGGGGGGTCCGGTTGTGGGGCCTGAACTCGGGGCCTGGGCACTGTCCCTCAGCTCTTCAGCTCAAGGCTAGCACTCTACCACTTGAGCCACAGCGCCACTTCTGGCTTTTTTTTCTGCTTCTGTGGTGCTGAGGAATTGAACCCAGGGTCTCATGCATGCAAGGCAAGCGCTCTACCACTGAGCCACCTTCCCAGCCCCAGGCCTGTTTCTTGAGTTAACTTCCACTACTGAAGTGGAGACAGGGGCTGCTGTTCAAGGCCCTTTTCCATGCTCCCCTCTCTCATCTAGAGTGGACCTGGTTGTTCATTCCCTGAAGGACCTGCCTACTGTGCTGCCTCCTGGCTTCACCATCGGAGCCATCTGCAAGTAAGAGTCCAGCAAGCAAAGGGCCAGGGGGAAGGCTGTCCTCCTGGGAGCTTCGGCCCTTTCCTCTGGGGCTTAGCCCTCTGTCCTCAAGCCTGGCACAAACTCAGGAAGTTGTTGGTGGATTAGCTGTTGAGAGAATGGAGGTGACCTGAAGTATCCTCCCTTATTCTGTGACTTTCCCTTGTTCCCCAGGCGAGAAAACCCCTGTGATGCTGTTGTCTTTCACCCCAAATTTGTTGGGAAAACCCTAGAAACCTTGCCAGAGAGGAGGTAAGCGGGACCTGGATGGGCATTCATGCTTCTGGGTATCACAGAGGATGGAGGGGCAGGAGGAGGAAGAGAAAAGGAACAGGGACTGACTAGTGTTAAATTTCATTTTAAATCCTCTCTCTTGAGCAGTGTAGTGGGGACCAGCTCCCTTCGGAGAGCAGCTCAGCTGCAGAGAAAGTTCCCACATCTGGAGTTCAAGAGTATTGTATCCTTTTAAAATTCAGAGGGAAAAACTGGGAGAAGGAAGGGAAGGAGTGACATTGTCCAAAGACAAATGTATTCATTACCTGACTTAGGTAACTGTCACTGCTCTATACATCACCTTTACAGTAACCAAAACACAAAAACAAACAAAAAACCTCCTTAAAATTAAGAGTAAAAGGGCTGTAGTGAAGAGTGAAGGAGAAGACAAGGCCGGTTTGGAGGGTCCTGGGATCCTCCAAGGGGCTTCCAAGGATGGCGCTTCCAGAGAAAGTAGCCCATAGTGGGGCACTGGGCTGTCTTTCCTTCCATCCATGCATCCATCCACAGCCCTATAAAGGTTTAGCCCAAGGCAGGTGCCTGGCACCAGGGAAATGGAAGGATAAATATTGTCCTGGTTGTACAGAATTGGCATGTTTAGGAGACAGACGGGCATTACCAATACAGCATGGTACCGACCTGTGATTAGTTCACAGGGAAGGGGGAATAAAGGGTACTTCCATTTTTACATTACATGCAATTACAGTGTGTTTATTTATTTGTCTATCGCGGGGCTTGAACTCTGGGCCTGGGCGCTGTCCCTCAGCTCTTCAGCTCAAGGCTAGTGCTCTACCACTTGAGCCACAGCGCCACTTGTGGCTTTTTCTGCTTATGTGGTGCTGAGGAATCCAACTCAGGGCCTCATGTATGCAAGGCAAGAACTCTACCACTGAGCCACCCTCCCAGCCCCATTTTTATTTTTACGTGAATATGTAGTGTATTTAATAAAACTAATTTAAAAAAACAGAGTGCTATGCAATGGGCAAAGAAGCATATTTACAGGAAGCCTCTAGTTGGAACTTCGGGTTGTTTTTTTTTTTTTTTTTTGCCAGTCGTGGGGCCTGAACTCTGGGCCTGGGTGCTGTCCCTCAGCTCTTCAGCTCAAGGCTAGTGCTCTACTATTTGAGCCACAGTACCACTTCAAGCTTTTTCTGCTTATGTGGTGCTGAGGAATCGAACGCAGGGCCTCATGCATGCAAGGCAAGCACTACCACTGAGTCACCTTTCCAGCTTAGTTGGAACCTCTTAAACAGAGTTGGGGATTTCCTAGACTTGAACACATATTTTTTTTTGGGGGGGTACCAGTCCTGAGGCTTGAACACAGGGCTGGGCACTGTCCTTGAGCTTCTTTTGCTCAAGGCTAGCACTCTATCATTTGAGTCACAGCTCCACTTCTGGCCTTGTTTTTAGTTTTAATTGGAGATAAGCCTCATGGCCCTTATTGCCTGGGCTCGCTTTGAATCACAATCCTAAGGTCTCAGCCTCCTGAGTTGCTAGGATGACAGGAAGGAGTCGCCAGTGCCTGGCTAGAGGAAGATTATTTAACCTCTCTGTATCATTGTCCCCACCTATCAAGCAGGAATGATAGTAATTCCTTCTTCATAAGGTTGTGGAGAAAATGAAATGATTTGACATAGAGCATTTTAGGCCCGGTGGTTATGATGAAGCTGAGAAGTGGAAAATGAGTAGGTGTCATCCAGACAGAGGGAAAGAGACTGTGGCTGAGTAGCCAGCATGTGGCTCCTTACTGTCCTTAGCAATTCTCCACAGCGAGGAAACCTCAACACCCGGCTTCGGAAGCTGGATGAGCAACAGGAGTTCAGTGCCATCATCCTGGCTGTAGCTGGCCTGTACCGCATGGGCTGGCAGAACCGAGTGGGGCAGGTAGGAGCTGACCTTTCCCCTCTTGTGTCAATCTGCATCTCCCTTGTGGATGGCCTCTCTTTTTGACCAGCCATCTCTAACGCTCCCAAGTTCCAGGTTGGGAAGATGGAGATCAGAGGCTGGGCTACAGCTTTTGTCCCCAGGGTTTCTAGAAGATAGATAAGCCCTCTGTCATCACTGGGTGCTTTGGAGCACTCCCATCCCCATCTTCGGACTGTTCTATCTCCACAGATTTTGCATCCTGAAGAATGCATGTATGCTGTGGGTCAGGTAAGTCTGATGGGGGAAACCACTGTGAATGTGCTCTTCCCTTTGTTCTCAATCACAAACCTGGTCTCACCCCCTTTGACATCTCCCCCCGGAATAAATTTGCAGGGAGGAACAAGCCTTGGGCTGCAAAAAAGTGCTGGGAGCAGATGTAAGAGGGCTGGTTCCTACCCTTAAAGGACTAAGGTCATTGTTCAAGTGGCAGAGTACCTGCCTAGGAAGCTCAAGGCCAAGTTCAAACCTGTGCTGCCAAACAAAAAGGGAAGTGCCATGGATTGGGGAAAGAATAGGCAAGGTGTATGTGCAAGGCTGGTTTTTATTTTCCCCAGGGGGCCCTAGGTGTGGAAGTCCGAGCCAAGGACCAGGATATTTTGGATCTAGTGAGTGTGTTGCATGATCCAGAGACTCTGCTTCGCTGCATCGCCGAAAGAGCCTTCCTGAGGCATCTGGTAGGGCATGAGGTCTCCCTGAGAAGGGGTGGGGGCTTGGAGAATGAGGAAAGGCTGTGGAAGGAGTTCATGAATAAGTACTCTATATGTAGTGGTAACTGGTTTTTGTTGAAAGTGGGGAATAGAGAGAACTCAAGTGTGGGACCAGCAGCCTTTTCAGTTGTGTCCTCAGAGGTCTGTCTCTTGAGGGCTCTCGGCACTCACAGGTACCTTATTTCAGGAAGGAGGCTGCAGCGTGCCAGTGGCAGTCCATACAGTGATGAAGGATGGACAAGTAAGCAGGGCAGAAGTGGTGGGAGGACAGGATTCCTACTGAACATCCCAGGTTTTTAAGCAGTCCCTTCTTAGTAAATGCTGAGGCAACTCCTCTGTTTCACAGCTGTACCTGACTGGTGGAGTCTGGAGTCTAGATGGTTCAGATAGCATGCAGGAGACCATGCAGACCACCATCCACGCTCCTGCTCAGGTACCAAGAGCTGGATGGTCGGAGGGAATGCATGTCACCTTCCCTTTCAATCCCACTAAGCCCCACCTTCCTCTCATCCAGCATGAAGATGGCCCAGAGGATGACCCGCAAATGGTAGGCATCACTGCTCGAAACATTCCACGACGAGCCCAGCTGGCTGCTGAGAACCTGGGCATCAGCTTGGCCAGCTTGTTATTGAACAAAGGAGCCAAGAACATCCTGGATGTTGCACGGCAGCTTAATGATGCCCGCTAACCGGTCTGTGGGGCACAGGGCGCCTGGATTGTCATTTTCAGTGCCTGCATCTGGGTTTCAGTACCCTGTTCTCACTAGCTGGGATGTGATTACTCCAGGAGATTCAACTGCTGCCTGAGGCTGGCAGCCACACATCTCACCTTGGGGCCTTGTTGACTGTATTGCCTCCTAAATAGATGGGGGCTTCATCTCTTTAGACAAAAGTCTAAACCACAGCCTTTGAATGTAAGCAGCTATGAATGAACTGTCCTTGAAAGTGGCCATTTTGATGAGGTTTAGGAGACAAATAAATCCAAAGCTCTTTCAGTCCTAAGTCTGAAACCTTTGTTTAAAAACTTCTGGAACAGCTTTTGCTTCAGCCTCAATAGTCCTAATTCCAATGTTGCCTCACAGGGAAAATCAACAAAACAAGAGAAAACAGCCTTAATATCCATGGCTTGCCTAGTGTGGGGGGCCAAGCCTAAAATCCCAGCATTTGGGAAATAGAAGACTGTGGGTTCAAGTCCAGCCTGAGCTACAATGACCATTGCTCCAAATAACCAAAATAAATGAAAATCCTATGTCTTATTCCTTCTCCAGCTAATAGTGAAGTTTATTTGTTAAGACAACCTCTTCCACCCCCACTGCCTTAGAAATTAGTTATCCTATAGCTTGCAAAATGAAGACACTTCACTTTTAAAAAACAACAATCCTTTAATAAACAAAATTAGCCCATGTGAAACTCCCCAATACTTTAAGGTTCTAGTCTTGGATGGGTTAGCTGCAAAGTCCCAGTTCGGAAGCCCAGAGGCTCAGTCCAGACGGGTTTGTGCTGGTATCTTGTTGAGGCGCTGGGAGGAAAATGGGTGCCTAGGCCCACGGGCCAGCTAACAGTCTCGGCACAAACAGCTCTGTTGTCCCATACGGCAGTCGTGAACGCAAACCGGAGGCCCTTGCCCTCTTACACACTTTGCAGGAGGCAGGCGGCAGGCTGGCCTGAAGAAAGCTGCTTGTTCCCGCGTCGTCCCGGCCAGGATGCACGGGCCCATGGATGAAGATGGAGGGTGATCCGGTGTGAAAGCCTCGGGGCTCAGCAGCAAGGGGGTAGCGCGGACACCAAAATAAATGAGTGAATCCTCTCCCACCAAAGCCTGGAAGCCAGCAGTCACGTCTGAAGTCCTGGCGAGGGCTAAGCACCAAGCTGAGGAAATAACCGCCAGCCTCTTCGCCTTAGCTGCCCATCTCAGCCCTGCGTCAGAGCGCAAGGCCAAGGGTTCCAGAAGGTGCGGCGGCCGCGCCGCAGCCCGTCAAGTCATTCCGAGGATGGGGCGGTCGGGTCGCGAGCCGCGCGGCGGGCGGGTGTGGCGGATCGCCCCCTCCCCTCCCGCAGGCAGGCCCGGACCCAGGCCC